AACTAAATGGGGCATCACTCCACGTTGATGGCAGCACCTAAATCCAAAATGCACTATGAAAATTCAATTTTCCTATTTGACATGGGACTGTAAAGGAACCAGGATCAGCACATTTGATAGGTAATTGAGGTTTGAATAAGACCAAAACATTAGAACCAAGTTGGACTCTTTTATTGGATCTGCAAATCCTTTTATGTGTGCATAATTCTTTTAGAAATTTAGCATAGCTTGGCATTTGCTTAATTAATACTAGCATAAGCACATTAACCTCTAGTTTGCTAAACAACTCCATCATTTCTTTTTCAAGAATTTCATTACTCTTTTCTTACCCAATATATAGGATTTAGGAAATGGTAAATCTTTTAAGTCAAAGTTTTTACTTGAATCCAGCTTCTTTCTCTATATTTTGTAACATGCATTTGCTGAAATTTTGCTAATTAATTTCCACATCTCGAATATTTTCTTTAGCTACAAAACGTCCATAATCCTTGCTGGTAGAACCATGCTCTGTAGGCTCCATTACATTCTTTTTACTGTTGTCCGATTGTCATTTAGAATGATCTTTGAAGGTAACTGACTCTAATTCTTGATATTTTGGAGCATTTGCCTCCGGTACAACTTTGCTTGTGACATTTTGGTTCTCTAGGCTATCATCTCATAAAGAATCTTCTTCACCTTCCTCAGCATTTCCAATCCTTTTTCAATTTCTTAATGTTATAACATGCAGTGCTTTAGGATTTATTATAGTGTTTGAAGGTAAAGTGCGTCCATTTTGGGCCTGTTGGTTTACTCATGCTATTGGATAGCTATGTAACATAAGGGGAGAGATTAGAATTTTTCATCTTGACTTCTTCCAAATCTTTACAAATGGCAGTGAGTTGAGAATTTATGGCTGCTTTATCAATGTCCATCTTTTGTAGTATCGAGGTCAAAGAAGAACTGTAAAAAATTTTATCTTCTTTCATTTGATTCAACAAAGATTGCTTGTCTATAGCCATTTGAGTGTTCAACTGAGTCATTAATCCTTTCAGAAGTTGATTAGTATGATCATTTTTACTAGAGTTGTCCTGGATAGGTATTAGCACTTTAGATGGTTCAATCAGATCTTGATTTGCTATTTAAAACTATGAGGATCTAGAATTATTAGATAGGAACTTATTATTAAAATTCATGTTCTCACCACCCTCCCACCATAGATTAGGATGCTTCATTGTATGTAGACGCGAAAGGATCTCTTTTCTGGTATTGGTTGGGTTTACTTTGATAAAAAGCATTGACCTCTTCAAACTTTGAAGGACAAACAGCAGAGAGATGCATTGGAGATCCACAATAGTCACTAGAGGGAGCTACAATTTGGTTGCATGGTGCCACAGGTCGAGAGGAATTAGTATGGAGGGTAGCAATTTTAGTTTTCAAACTCTCCATCTGGGCCACTAAACGCTATCCTACAGAATTAGATGCAGATCCATGACTCACCTCTCCTATAACATAAGCGTCTCTTGAACTAAATTGCTAATTGTTTCTAGCCATTTTTTCAAGAAGATCTTATCTAGCTGTAGGTGTTAGGTCCAAAATAGAACTATTGGCAACAGCATTAGTTGTGGCCTTTGTTTGAGGAAGCATGCTTTCATAAAAATATTAAACCAACCATTGTTTTGGAATTTGGTGATGAGGGCAGTGAGTCAACATTCCCACAAATCTAGACCAGTAATCATATCAAGATTCCCTTTTATTTTCCCTGGCACTATAGATTTCTTTCTTCAATGTTATTGTCCTAGAGGCTAGGAAATATCTTTCCAAAAATAGCTTTTGTAGTTGGGACCATGTTAGCATAGCATAATGTTGAGGAAGAGACCTTAACCACTCTTTGGCATCGCCCAAAACTGAAAAATGAAATGCTTTCTTAAGCACTTCCTCAATTGACATAGTGGGTGGCTTGAAAGAGGAACATGCCATATACAAATCTTGCAAATATTGATGCGGATCATCCCTTGCATGTCCGTAGAATTTAGGAATTGCATTCAACAAAGAACTTTTAATTTCAAAATTCACAACATTATTCTACAGACCATAGGGATCATAATCTACTGCAAAATTATTTAACTCTCTAATCCTCCTACTTTTAGCTTCATGATTAGCATTCAAATGATTAGCCCTATTTTCAGCTTCTTCTTCTTGAGCATGATTGACAATATTAGGATCATTAAGCCTAGGGTTATTAGGATCAGCAGGTGGGTTCATGATAAAGTGATGGTCTATGAAATGTCCCAAAGATGATTCTGTATCAGATATATGAGTTGATACAAAACTGTCTGAATCAGTAAGTGAGTGTGTAGGAGTAATAGGTGAGGTTTTTGGTTGAACACTAACTTCTTTAAGTTGTTTGGCTTTTTTTAGATTTCTTAAAGTTCTATTGATTTCTCTAGCCAAAGGATAAAATTCACCAAACTCACGACTCATGCAAGAATTTTGAAATCCAAACAACAAAAAAGAAGATCAAAGCATATTAGAATTCTCAGCAAAATAAATTAAAACTTCACTAATCAGAATATCTAAGAGTTAAAAGGTTGGCAACGATGCCATTTGATTTGTCCTTAGTTGTATAGGCAATCAAAAACACTAGGTAAGGAATGTGCAGTACAATGATGCAGTCTAGATATCAAATCACTTGGTCTATTAACTCTTTGATTTCCTTATTAACAAAGTTAATACAAATTACTTATATAGGAATGTAGAGAAGAGAACAATTTCCAGCTTTAAAGAGAATTCTTTCTTTGAGTTTTGGATGCAGAAGAAGATTGAAAGAAAGATGCTTAACAACTAAACTTTGAAATACAAGAAAGACCGTTGAAATATTAATCCTTCCAAGAGTTTCACTTTATCTTCTTTGCCTTAATCTGATCTGGAGTCAAGTGTTATTGAATGTGCAGAAAGACTGAACACTCTTAACCAAACGAACTTCTACTCGTATGAATCAATCAATCAAACCACAAATATTCAAATCACTAAATTCAAATAAGGATCTGATTAAATTCTAAATTCAGAGTGAAGTACGAAGTTTTCTACAACATTCATCTAAATTTCTAAAACAGAATACAACCGAATTCGCTGCTAATCACTTTACAACTTGTATAGCAACTGAGAATTAAAAGAGATTAGATGAATATGAAACTCCCTCTACAATCCAGTAGCTCAAATTCGATTTCTACTCTTGGAAGAATTTCTAAAACTAGCCACATTTGATGAAGACCTCCTCTTTCTCACACTCAGATCGCAATTCTACCATGGAAGACGTCCAGCACGCTGATTGCAATCAGAAAATGGAACGGATAGCACTTGAGAAAGAAGATGAAGTAGAACCAGAGAATCAGAGCTCAAGAACGAAAATTAAAATCCTAAAAAGTTCTCCCCCCAGCTCTTCCTCCTCTCTCATTTTATATTTGTCGGAAAGTTTCTTATCTCTCCATACCATCTGGTTCCTCCCTCCGGTGATGATTTGGACTTGGGTGCAAGTTGTTAAAGTTGGCTCTTAGCTGGACTAGGAAGATTTTGAATCATTTTCCAGTTTTCTTGCCTCTGCCGTTGAAATTTTTGAATTTGAGTGTTAAAATTTTCGGTGGAATCTCTTTTCCTTTGGTGATGGAAATCAGTTTCCATTAGTTATGGAATTGTGTTTCCTTCGGATTCTTGTTTCCTTCCTCATTAGAAATATGTTTCAATCACTGCACAATTACAATTTTACACCTGCAATCAAAACAATAAGCCAGAAATAATATCCAGTGGGAAATTTCATAAAAAGAACTATTAAAAACATCATAATTGCTAATTCTTCTACTTAAGTGCATCAACATTTTATTTAGTCATTAATGCAAACAATACTCAATTAATTTACTAAAGTAGCCCAAAACGAGCATTCTAAGCATATGAAAATTGTGATTTATCAATTCTCATTCACTTCATTTGGAACTGGTAATACGGGTCCAACCCGCCAAAAAAGACGGGCTCAAATGCCAACCCGTCAAAGTGCGGGCTACTTCAACTCGCACCGCTTTAGGCCCGCACTGTCGTGGACTGGCCCATATCCGCACTGCCAACCTCGCATTACCACCTCTAGCTTTATTATCACAAATGTGTTTACATCATCTCTTATTTATAGGACCCAAATATTGAAGACTAACCTAAAGAGTTACAGGTACATAAAGAAAGGAATTAAGCAATATAATTGTACAATTGGAGGTTATAGGAAATAAATACTAGAAATCCTTCAATTTAAGAGTTATAAGATATAATGCCATTAACCATGAGAAAGAAATCCAAGAGGCTTAGGAATTATGAACATCTACACAACATAATATTTATAACATATTTTTTACTTTTTACCTATTTTTATGAGAAAAACAATTTTATAAAATAACCAAAAACTTCTTAGCCTAGTGACATCTTGACCCCTCAAACGAGGGAGATAGGTGGGTTTTATCCTCTATTGGGAAAGGGGAGGTTCCCGAATGGGGTGAGTTTTCTCCTCTACAGAGGACTAATTCTCATATAAAAAAACTATTTTGTCAAATATTTTTTTGATTTTATTTATGAGATATTTTCAGCATCTTTCACAAAAATCAAGAAAAACTTTAAATTGCATTAATTATATATTAAAATATAACAACTTTTTAATTTTACTCTTATTTAATATATACATCTCTGTAAAAAAATAAACGTCTAGACTATGATAAATAAAAAATAAAATGATAAATTTAATGTTAAAAATTTAATGAAATGACTTATAGATATGATAACCAAAACTTTCTTTTTCTATTTTATAAATAAGATTTTAGGAGTAGAAAATAAGAAAACATATGAAGTTTGTTCTGTTTTTTTTTTTTAACAGATTACTAATTTTTCTTGTAGAACACTTAAATCAAAAATTAATTACGAAATTTTTTGTTATGAAACTTAAATCACTAAGAGTGAGAAGGGAGATAGTTGGGCAACGACTTAAGGGGCGTGAACGGCAGAACATTTTGGACTTTGCTTTGGCCTCTGGAGTTGTCCTTCCGCCGCTGAAACGACATGGCAGTGAAATCAAATCCAATACATCACTGCCCAGTTAAGAATGCCCCCTCACAGTCGTTGCATCTCAGACAACCTCACCTCTCAATTTGGCTGCGTAATGGAACTCCTTCTTCTTCGTCCGGCATCTCGTTCTCGCTTCTTTCTTCTCAATCTCATCACCCCACTCCGCCTCGCCGTCCTCCGCCGCAGTCTTGTACGGCAATTCTGTGTGTGCCTTTGGCTTCGCTATTTCTTCCTGTATTTTCTTTTTCATTCTGTGTTTCTGTGTTTGGTTTTCAGTATGGAGCCCCAAGCTTCCCCTCGGAAGTCCTCCACCGCCCAAGTATTCGGGTTCCCTCGAATCCGATTCACGGTCGGGTTACTATTCCGAACCGCCTCCAGTGAGTCATCATCGTCTTCTTGCTCCATGCGCATAATACTAGATCGATTAACTGTTATTTTACTACAAGTTAGCATCGCGTTTTCTTCTTGGTAACATTTTTCACTTCGTTGAATTAGATTTATTTTGTGATGCATTTATTCCTTGTTCATTAGCAGATTTGGTTTCATCATGCAGTGCATCCTTGGAAGTCCTGTTCTATTTGTTGGTTTTGATGCTAATTGTGGGTTGCTTAGCAGCTGGAATTTAGATAAACAAAAAACAAAAACGCTATGCCTGCGGCGATATCGTCACACGATAAAAAGTTGGCTACTTGGCTTGTCTTATGTTTAAATATTTGTTTGAAATACTCTCCTTACAAGCGTGACCATATTCTACTTCTCTTTCCACGTGAATGCTCGGCCCTCTTTCTTGGGCAGTCTGCAGATATTATACTTCCAGTATAGGAGAGGGAAATTTGCTTTTTTGATTTTTTTTTTCCCCCTGCCATTTTAGTTTTGTATTTGTAATAGCTGAAACCAATGTGAGGTAATGGAGAAAGACATGTGACATTGCATAGAATTGGATTGAAGAAAATGTATATAAAGTCTAACACTTTAAGCTTATTTAAGAAGTATTATCCAGCCACTTATATGTCTCCCCTAAAAGTCCAATGAAATTCGAAGTTAAAAGTGTCTCACCACATTTTCCCAATTAACAAAACGTGTAGCTTAAGGTCCAAACATGAAGTAGTAAAAGTAGATTGGTCAGCAGAGTATGGGAAAGAAGTAAAGATTTTTGCACACGTCTTATAATATCGTGGATACTTCAAAATTTTATTACATGTTTGTTATTAATCAGCGTTATGAACATAATTTATGCAGTTAAAGATTATGTTCATTTGCATTTAGTACTTTATCATGTGGGTTTATGTGTTTTTACAAGTTGATAAATATTGACACTCACATGCTTATGCATATGCTAGAAAAGGTGATATTATAATATTGGCTTCTGCTGTTATATTGTTAAGGTTCTCGATGATGATTATATCATTAAAGAGAAAAGTAGGGGGCAAAAAGAAAAAGAAAGATCTTTGATTAAGAGTAAATTATACATGCTTCTTTCTAGAATAAAGATCAAGTTTTGATGATCTTTTCATACATATACATGAAAACAATGTAGCATCAATCACCTTTCTTTTTGGTTATTGTGTTTCTTTTCTTAGGTTGTGGAGCAGCAAACAGGAATTCTAAAGATTCTGAAGGAATCAAATTCACTTTTGCCTCATGTAGTCCTTGCTAGTACTCTGCTTGCTCTGATCTACCCCCCTTCTTTCACATGGTTTACGAGCAGGTTAGTAAATCCACTAGATGAATTAGTTAATCAAAAAATATATGATCCTATACTACATGGTTGCATTGTTTTTTTCCCCTCTATTGGCTAGAGACAGATTAGATGGCATCAACAAAAGGTCGAGTAAATAGTTCTTTTTTAATCTGTTTTATCTTCTTATCCTTTTGTTTGTTGTCATCTGGATTTTTATGCCTTACTCTATACTGCAAATGCAAAAGCGAATATAATGGAGCAAACTACTAGTACACAGATTCCTAAATGCATTATAGCCAATTGACTTCTTTCAAAGTGATTTCAACCTTAAATTCTCTTATAATTTATTTTCAGATATTATGCACCTGCGCTAGGGTTTTTGATGTTTGCAGTTGGTGTTAATTCAAGTGAAAAGGACTTCCTTGAAGCATTAAACAGGCCAGAAGCAATAGTTGCTGGTTATGTTGGCCAATTTCTTGTGAAGCCTTTTCTTGGTTATCTATTTGGCATATTGTCAGTAACTGTATTTGGTTTGCCAACAGCAGTAGGTGAGGTTAATGCATCATATATATGAAGAACTGACAAGCTACACTTTCTAACTTTGGGTGTAAATTGAATCAGGCGCTGGAATTATGCTTGTGTCTTCCGTTAGTGGAGCCCAGCTCTCCAATTATGCTACTTTTCTAACAGATCCACAGATGGCACCATTAAGCATAGTCATGACATCATTGTCCACTGCTTCAGCAGTTTTTGTCACTCCACTGTTATCATTGTTGCTTATTGGAAAGAGGTTGCCTGTGGATGTAAAAGGAATGGTATCTAGCATCATGCAGATTGTAGTGGCACCAATTGCTGCAGGCCTGCTTCTGAATCGGTAATACTTCAGACCTAGATAAGTTTCTAGAATCATCATTTTCTTTTAATGTAATATCATTTCGTTATGAAGTTTTTAGATTTCTTACACATTTGTTTTTACAGCTTCTTTCCTCATTTTTGCAATGCCATACGGCCATTTTTGCCTCCACTCTCAGTACTGCTAACAGCTCTCTGTGTTGGAGCACCCCTTGCAATTAACATTGAGTCGGTCAAGTCTCCCTTTGGAGTTACTATCTTGTTGCTGGTTGTTGCTTTTCATATGGCAGCGTTTGTAGCTGGTTATATGTTTAGTGGACTTCTCTTCTATAAAGCTCCTGATGCGAAGGCATTGCGAAGGACAATTTCCTTCGAGACTGGTATAATTTTTCTCTTATGTTATTTATAAATTGCTGCCGTGAGTAATTTAATTTAATGTAGCTACTTTATCCAATGGCAGGAATGCAAAGTAGCCTCCTTGCCTTGGCCCTTGCTAATCGGTTTTTCCCAGACCCAATAGTGAGCGTGCCTCCTGCAATATCTGTAAGCGTTTTACTCTTTATGCTCTTTATTTCTGCTCGATACGTTAGCAATATAGATTACAATGTCCAGCTTCCTTCCTCTCTTTGGGTTATGTGAGGATGGTTTGAATCCTAGACCCTTATCCCTTCCCACCTCACCCTTATAACTGGAGTTATCATCAAGTGGATGCTTTTCTATTTCTTTATTTCCTTGTACTGGGTGATCTTGTATGACGTATGTTATCATGTTTGATATCTGCTATAAACATTTTTACTGAAGCATAGCAGCACGGCTGATTGCTTCATTAATCAGCAAATAAAAGGCCCTTATAGGTCATGTTTGAGACGTGTACTGTTTTTTAACTATCAAGGTATGTTGGACATATATAACATGCCAAAGAAAAAGGGAGAATTACCATAAGGTCTCAAGGAAGGAATTTAATCACCAGTCCCAATGACAAGTGAGTAGTTTAAATGTGTCATCATTTCCTACATTGGAAGCTGTCATTACAAACTCTTCAGTTGTTAATGGATTTTTGGGTAGTCAAACATATTTTTTGGGACTTGATAGTAATTCTCTCAGAGAAAAAAAAACATTTTTATGTTTTTTTGAAAAAACTTTTTTGATGTTTTGTTCAATATATGTGTGTGTGTGTGTGTAATCTCGTTTCTGAGTGTTTTGATTCCTTAGTCTGTTGCAATATAACTAGTTGATTATCCTTGCAGACTGTGATTATGTCTCTGATGGGATTCTCTCTCGTAATGCTTTGGAGCAAGAGGAAAGACTAGGAAGTGGATGGAAATGCAGCGCCAGGAAGATGGCACTGTATTTGTGAATTGTGACATCCTTTATTTTTGTGGGCTTTGGTAGAACTGTTGACTCTAGGAAGTGGGCAACATGGTGTGAAATAATGTGCATATAAACTATGAAAACAATATTGAAAATTTTAGGCAGAAGCCTTTGAAAATTGCAATCGGTCGCCTCTGCAATTTACAAACAAATTTAGGGAGAATTACAATAAGGTTTCAAACAAGGAAAACAATTGAAAAACAAGTACCAAAGGTTGTTATTCTCACTATAAGACTTGTCATTATAGGCTTTTGAGATTGTTATTGGGATTTTTTAATAATTATTTCTTTTCTGTGGGACTTAATTGTAATTTCCCTATAAATTTATGTGGTGCAGTTGGATGGGAAAAGCATGGGATGCTACTATTAAGGGTCTGTTTGGATGCCTTCCAAAACCATGGTTTGGGTGGGATGTCACCCAAACAATATTAATTTTGGAGAAATAATTTGAAATCATGATTTGGGCAGGAACCATGATTTTGGAGCCTAAAACCATGGTTTCAGAAAAAGTGAATTCATTCTGCTTTTGGCTCAAATTGGAGAGTATGATTGTGCCTATGAGAGTAGATCTCAACAATAATATGACTTTAACATCTTTTAATTATTTTTTTATAAATATATTTAATCTTATATCTTATAAATATATATATACACATATTAATTATTTATTATATTATCTTATGTATTATTAATTATGTTAGTAAAAAATGTATTATTAACAATTTTATTTCTTCAAATTAAAATATATCATAAATTTTATTTTTTATGTAATTATCATATTAACTTATGTTTTAGTAATTTGTATATATAAAAAGTGTTTCTAATAACAACTATCCAAATACTCTCACTTCTCAAAATTATTTTTTCACAAAATCTATTCTTCTCAAAATTTATTTTCTAGAAATTATTTTTCAAATTATAGTTCCTAAGTCATAAAAAAAGAATGTATTGATAAAAAAATCCCGCAGTAAGCGAACATGCAAGAACAAGCTTTGATGTAGAAAATGACCATAAATCTATGTTGTTAATGTGTTTGGGCAATTTTTTCACAAAATCTATTCTTCTCAAAATTTTAAAATATTTTCCCTCCTCTCCTTTATACCCCTTCTTTTTCAAATTGGGGCATTTGAAGAGAAATGGTAATATTTTAGTTTGTTTTGACTCATTCTTATTAGTTCTTAATATACCCATATTTGATCTTAAGTGAAGCTAATTGTTACACTCTTATCAAATTATATGTCAAATCATAAAAAATTCTTCCTCTCCCCTCGCTTCTCATCAATCCAAACAAGATAATATTAAAATATTTTCCTCCACACTCTTCCTTTTCCTTCTATTAAAATTCCTCTCTTCTTTCAGCCTGTTTAAGCCCATTTAAATGAAAGGCCGAGCTTGTATTTTGAAGTCTTAAAAGGCAAATTGTACTTAAAAAGACTAGTTTTATATACTCGAAAAATAAACGGGTTGACGGTGTATGGTTGCAGGCCAGCTTGTTTTAGCTTGCCAACACTTTTTTTTTTAATTTCTATATTTTTATTTTAACCTAAAAAAGAAAACCATAACATTTAAAATTAGATATTTTCACAAAAATGTATTGTTATTTGAATTGTAGGTGCAATTTTTACGGGCTTTATTTATCATTCTCTTATATTTTTTATGCTTGAAATAGAATTAATTAAAAATTATTTTGAATTAAAATAATGATATATATCATTTTTATAGTTAGAAACAAATTTGGAAGTACAGACAATGAACTCCTTTTTTTTTTTTTTGGCAGCAGGATGGATGATTATTCTTCATGTATACTATGTATATTGGTTAAACTTTTTCATTGATTATTTATAATTAAACTGGATCATTCACACTGTGATTATTTATTGAACTTAGTGATTATTTAGTTGTTTATGTTGGTCTTTCATAATTTGTCTATTCAATAGACTTTATTACACTGTGATTGATGTTTTAGATGCTTAGATATGATCATGTTTATGTTTGTAATTTAATTTTATTTATATTTATACCTTTTATTAGTAATTTTATTGTTTCATTTTCATTATTTCAAAAAAAAAAAGCAGAAAACATTAAAAAAAATTGTATTTTTAGTTAAACGAACCAAAAGCTCGTGAGCCGACTCTGAGCTCGTCATCTCAAGGATTGGACTTAAGAAAATCACCTATTTCTGAGCCTTAAGCATAAACAGGATCCCCCATTTAGGCCCGAGCCCATGACTGGCCAGTCCATATTCCTAATGCTATTTAAGCCCAACACATCCTTAATGGTATTCACTTGTGGAACTTCTTAATGATCATATTCTTTCTTTGAGACTTTATGATTATTTTCCCAAAAATAAATAAGATCAATACAATTTTAGAAAAATGACAAAAAAAGAAATTGGAAATTACTGAATCCCAAATCACATTTGATAATAATGCTTTATTTGGTGTTGACAATATTAAATTTGCAAATGACAATAAATTTTTATTAACATTCTTTATTTAGTATTTAGTAATTTTAGGCTTTTTTTTAAATCTTTTTTTCTATAACTTTTGGCTCCTAAAATTTGGACCTATGTTGGTTTTGATCACTCAAATTTCAAATTTATGGTTTTAGTCTTTGGAATGTAGTCCATCTTTGAAATAACCTTCCTAAATCAACCAATAAACTTAACTTTTCATAGTGATTTCGAGAAATAATTTTTTTTATAATCAAACCATACTAATAACAAACTCAAATCAATCATAATCATATAAATTAACTTATTATATAATAATGTTATCCATGATATAAAAGAACAGCATACAACGATACACCTTATCATGGATAAAAGAATGTTTTTTAACTCATTTAAATGTAAATCATGTAAAAAAGGATCAACAAAGCCCCAAACTAAACTACCAATAATACTCAAGCTAATAACTAACAAAACCCCAAACTAAATTGTCATAAGCAACATTCTAAACACACGTATTTATACACATATAGAGGAAAAATAATATATGCCATAGCAGGTGTTATTTGTCAAAACACACTTTATGAGGATCTTCTGATTATAAAGGCATCTTTCAAGAATAAAAATAAAATAATTTACTATACAAATTCACAAAAATATGTATGGGCACATCAATATTTTTAGATTTGTAAGAAGATCAGTAACCTAATCCAATTTATCATCATCTATCAATTCTGATAGGAACACTTTCATATAAATAATACTCATCATAATTACCCATACTTCCTAATCTAATATTTCACCTCAAGCAATACTCGAAGTACAAAAATATTTGTTTCCCAATTATAGACTACCCAAAGTACTTATTCATTTTATTGTTTTTCTTTTTGGCTCGCTCAATCATAACACTTCTTATGTTAGTATAAAATTTATAACAATTTGTAATTCGAGAACCATATTATTATTAGCTTCATTAAAATGTATGAATATATTTCTCGAATTTGTACTTATTTAAAAGTTTTTTTTCCAGTTGTAATATTTAATCATTACTTCCCTTATAAGTAGAAAAAACTTCTTAAATAAGGAATAACATTAATTGATTTATATGAAAAATTACCAACCTTCACAAGTAATTTGAGAATGAATTTAATAAGAAAAATTTGTCCATTCTAAGAATTTTAAGTAAAATCTTTAAAAGTGTTTTTAACGTAAAAATTTTGAAAACTCAAAAAAAAAATAACCATTTACTCAATAATTTATTTTGCCAACATCACTTTATATGAACTCTAAATCAAAAAGAGTACTTCAATGCAAACGAATCCACACTTAAACACATATAAAAAAAATCTTTCATTCATTTAAATCTCACCATTCTATATTATTAAATATTTATTCAATTATTTCGCAATGCTTGTACTATTACCCATGATCTTATGCTCACTTCAAAATGCCTATCATCAGCATAATTTGGCAACATATACCTCAAGTTTCACTTACAAAATCTTCCTTTTATTTATCAATATTCCTTAACTTTTAGTTATTGTTCTTTTCTCTCTTTCCTTTTTTTTTGGATTAATTATATTAATGAAAAAGTAAAGGTATATAAAAAGCGGTTACATTCAACGCACAAACTTAGACATCAAGCATTAAACACCAACATATATATTAACAAAAAAAAAACACACACAAGACTGTTCTGCATTATTGATTATGTATCACAGTTGTTGTTTTGATCGTACAATAGCTTCTTGTTTCCTTGAGTTTCATATACTGATATTTTTAACATCATTTTTTTCATTATGATTTATAATAAACTATGTAGTATTTAAATTCCTTATGATTTACAAAATGCACTCTTAATTGAATAAGATATTCAAGTCGAATTACACGCTACATATCCTCATGAGACGAGCTTATATATTGTCTAAGTTAAGGCAGCCTACTTAATATTTTTTAATTAATTAGGAGTATTCATTTTAATTCAACTCTTTTCCCAAACATTTGATTTTCATTGATTTGTTGTTAAATGGCAAGTGTTCTATATAGTTTTGTAGTCCAAGATATTAATATAAAACACTATTTTTCATTCATTTAAAAGTTATTAGATTATCTCAACTACTACTAAAAACGCCCATTATCAAGGCTTAACATATGATAATATAATCACACAAGATTTCAAAATGTACTCTACAACAATTCTTTTTTTTTTTTTAGACCTAATATCATCAAGCTTTAATTATCACTATCTTAAAAGTTTCCAAAACTTTTATTTTTTTTTCACATATACATTTACTTTGTCATAAAAAAAGTCTTACATCTTTTTCTTAATAGTAAAAAAATATTTGATAATAAATTTTAACAATTCTCATAATGAATTAGTTGTCTAAAAAAAATAACAAGGGGCAAGCTCCCATGAGAAATATGTTTACTACTTCTCATATATAGAATCTAACTAAACAACAAATTTATATAAATAGTTGCTTATACTCTTATTAATACCACATTTATCCAAATCAATAGTAACCACTTACATTAAAAGACATATTTCTTGTACAACATTATTGCTAAAGGTTGTGTGAAGCTTAATTATCATGCGTAATACCCAAGATTATCCTTAATTATTGTTTATTTGACATCTTATTCTATTCATTTTTATCTCGAACATTCAAATTCATCCATACAAATATAACATTAGTTCCTTTCTCTAGACCAAAAGTGTATTTTTTTCA